GACGGTGCTGGCTGGTGGTGGTGATGGGTGGTGGTGGTGATGGTGGTGGTGATGGTGATGGTGGTGATGGTGCTGGTGGTGGTGATGGTGGTGGGATGGAGACGGTGGTGGTGGTGGTGGTGGCGCAGGCGGCCCGGCCTGGTGAGCACGTGCGGGACTCCATCTTGGAGCTGCTGGGGCGCGCAGGCTGGGTAAGGGTTGTGACGCCACCGCCAACCAACAACACCACCACAACAACACCACCACAACAATCAGCCACCACCGTCCTCCATCACCACCACCACCACCACGCACCACCGTCTCCACCACCATCTCCACCACCATCTCCACCACCACCATCACCACCACCATCACCACCATCTCCACCACCACCATCACCACCACCACCATCTCCACCACCATCACCACCACCACCATCACCACCACCCAGAGGTGGGTCAAAGTCATTGTTATGCAAGTCCAAGTCGAGTCTGAAGTCATCAAATTCATGACTCGAGTCTGACTCGAGTCCAAGTCACATGACTCGAGTCCACACCTCTGCCACCACCATCACCACCATCTCCACCATCACCACCACCATCACCACCATCTCCACCACCATCTCCACCACCATCTCCACCACCATCTCCACCACCATCTCCACCACCATCTCCACCAGCATCTCCACCACCATCTCCATCACCACCACCACTATCTCTACCACCACCACCATCACCACTATCTCCACCATCTCCACCACCATCTCCACCACCACCATCACCATCTCTACCACCACCACCATCTCCACCACCATCTCTACCACCACCACCATCTCCACCAACATCTCTATCACCATCACCACCATCTCTACCACCACCATCTCCATCACCATCACCAACACCACCATCTCCACCAACGCCAAAACGCGACCAGCACAAGGACAATGCCACACGAATCAGCAGAACATTTATAGCTCCGGGTGGAGCAGCAGCAGCAGCAGCTGTGTGGCAATGATGATGGTGGTGATGATGATGATGGTGGTGATGGTGATAATAATGATGGTGGTGGTGATGATGGTAATGATGATGGTGATGATGGTGGTGATGGTGGTGATGGTGGTGATGGTGGTGATGGTTATGATGCTGATGGTGGTGGTGATGATGATGATAATGATGATGGTGGTGATGGTGATGATGGTGATGAGGATGGTGATGATGATGGTGATGATGATGATGATGATGGTGGTGGTGATGGTGGTGATGATGATGATGGTAGTGATGATGATGGTGGTGATGGTGGTGATGGTGATGATGGTGGTGATGATGGTGATGGTGGTGATGGTGATAATGATGATTGTGGTGGTGATGATGATGATGGTGGTGATGATGATGATAATAATGATGGTGGTGGTGATGGTGGTGATGGTGGTGGTGATGATGATGATAATGATGATGGTGGTGATGGTGATGATGATGGTGGTGATGGTGATGATGGTGATGATGATGGTGGTGATGGTGGTGATGCTGGTGGTGGTGGTGATGATGATGATGGTGGTGATGGTGGTGATGGTGGTGATGCTGATGGTGGTGGTGATGATGATGGTGGTGGTGATGGTGGTGATGGTGGTGATGGTGGTGATGGTGGTGATGATGATGGGGCTTCTCTTTTTGTTTCTCCTTCGTCCCACCACAGGAGGGCTTCCTGCAGGCTTTGGGGCCGGAGAGAGAGACAGAGACACAGAGAGAGAGAGAGACACAGTGAGAGACAAACAGAGACACAGTGAGAGAGACACAGAGACCCAGTGAGAAACACAGAGACACAGTGAGAGACAAACAGAGACACAGTGAGAGAGACACAGAGACACATTGAGAGACACAGAGAGAGAGAGAGAGAGACAGAGACACAGAGAGAGAGACAGAGACACAGTGAGAGACAAACAGAGACACAGAGAGAGAGAGACACAGTGAGAGAGACAGAGAAAGACAGACAGAGAGAGACACAGTGACAGACACAGTGAGAGACACAGAGACACAGTGAGAGACACAGTGAGAGAGACACAGAGACACAGTGAGAGACAAAAAGAGACACAGTGAGAGAGAGAGAGAGACAGAGACACAGAGAGAGACACAGAGACACAGTGAGAGAGAGGCACAGTGAGAGACACAGAGACAAACAGAGACACAGAGAGAGACAGAAACACAGTGAGAGACAAACAGAGACACAGTGAGAGAGACACAGAGACACAGTGAGAAACACAGAGACACAGAGAGAGACACACAGACAGAGACATACAGTGAGAGAGAGACAGAGAGACACATTGAGAGACACAGAGAGAGACACACAGACAGAGACATAAAGTGAGAGAGACACATTGAGAGACACAGTGAGAGAGAGACACATTTAAAGACACAGAGAGAGAGACAGAGAGAGAGAACGTCAGAGTTAGAAAAGGAAGAAAAAACCCGTACGGACAAGACGGTGCGGCCTCACCATCACCCCCACCGAGACGCCCACGGAAGCTGTAGCACAGGTTTTGTTTGTATTAGATCGCGTATCAACGTTGTGTTGTTAAACCCGCCACCACCCTACACGACCATCTCACCACACAGAGGCCCACGCAGACACCCACAGACTCACCACACAGAGACCACACAGACACCCACAGACTCACCACACAGATACCACACAGACACGCACAGACTCACCACACAGAGACCACACAGACACCCACAGACTCACCACACAGAGACCACACAGCCACCCACAGACTCACCACACAGAGACCACACAGACACCCACAGACTCACCACACAGAGACCACACAGACACCCACAGACTCACCACACAGAGACCACACAGACACCCACAGACTCACCACACAGAGACCACACAGACACCCACAGACTCACCACACAGAGACCCACAGACGCACCATACAGAGACCCACAGACTCACCACACAGACACCCACACAGACACCCACAGACTCACCACACAGAGACCCACAGACTCACCACACAGAGACCTACAGACTCACCACATAGAGACCCACAGACTCACCACACAGAGACCCACAGACTCACCACACAGACACCCACAGACTCACCACATAGAGACCCACAGACTCACCACACAGAGACCCACAGACTCACCACACAGACACCCACAGACTCACCACACAGACACCCACAAACTCACCACACAGAGACCCACACAGACACCCACATAATCACCACACAGAGCCATAGACTCACCACACAGAGAGATCAGATGAATGTGTAATAAAAGACTTCGTCAGGCACTGCTGGTGTCCGTTTGTCTTTTATTTAGGTTCTTTCTGCGCAGACCAGCGTCGTCTCGCGCGCGCCCCACGCACGCTCCCTCGTCAGCTCCTCCACTCTTCCTCACACCCCGCTGGGCCTGATCAGGGACCAGCGTCTCCTCTCGCGTGCCGCGCACGCTCCTCCGTTAGCTCCTCCACTCCCGCACTCCGCACACCGCTGGCCGACGGCGTGCTGAGGACCTTCGGCCACGTGGCCGATGGTGCGGATCTCTCTCACCACCCAGCGTGGCTCAGACTCTTAACTTCCCCGACCGTCCCGATCTCTTCCGGGCTCCCACTTATATCCATTCCCCCCACGTGACCCTGACTCCTCCCCTTCCGGATCGTCAGATCCGGCCTTCCCATACTACCCCGCTGGCTCCGCCCCCATTCACCTCGCCTCCCATTGGAGCTGCCGAGGTGACCGGTGGCCCCTCCCACACGCCCCGCAGACCAGGCTCCGCCCCCCAACACCCCGGGCCGTGTGATTGGACCAGAGCCCAGCAACAACCCCATTGACGCTCGCGCTACAGACGCATCAAAAGCTCAAAGCTGCTGCCACTTTCACGCCTCTCGACGATTCGTGGGGCCAGCCTGAGGTCACCTTTGCTTCTGGCTCCACGGACCTCCTGGCACTTAATGTCATCAACCCCCCCGAGCATTCTCCCTCTGGAGGTCATCCCAAAAACTTGTGTGCATACAGGGCCACTGAATTGCCCCTTGGAATGTTTTTCAACTCATTAGAGCGAGCCCCCAGATGTGCTGTGTTTGTGTGTAGGATGTCACAAAGCGGTCTCTATAAGGGCATCGATGCACGTGGGTTTATGACGTCACAAAGCAGCCATGAGGCCGTCCCACAGCGCGACAAACGCGGTTTCCTCCACCCCCCCCCCCCCCCACCGAAATCTTTGGCCTTTCGCGGTGTGCGCACACACGCAGTTTTGGCTTTCCTGGACTCTCTGACGATGTGCCCAAATCAGTCGAGCGCCATTATCTTTTCATCGGCTGCGTAACGCTGTGTGGAAGCTACCTGGTCTGTCGCTCCGCACGAAGCTCCAGGTCTTCTCGGCCACGGTCATTCCCTCCCTTCTCTACGCTTGCGAAACGTGCACCCCCCTAATGGAGCATCTTCGCCGGTTAGAAACATTTAGGCTGGCCTGCTAATGATCCATCCTGGGTTTAACCAGATGTGTGTGTGTGTCTAAGTCGATGTGTTTCTATGTGTGTGGGTCAATGTCTGTGCGTAAGTTCATGTGTGTGTCATCTCGGTCATCTCGGTCAGTCGACCCGTGGCACCTGCTGGGTCTGCCCCGTGACCTCCTGCCAGCGGGCGTTCGACACTTCACGTGGCCTCGAGGTGCACTTGGCCTGGCACAAGCGTCGTGGTGACGTCACCGCCACTTAGTGGCGAATGGCGGTTGTTGTTGTGTGTGTCTGCCTTTTCGCCCGAGCAAAGCCGGGTACTTACCGCCAGTATTTATTTAAAGTTTCGCATTTTGATGTGACGTCACATTTCTCACCCCCCCCCCTCGTCACGCATCGTCACAGATGTCTGACCCCCGCCCCCCCCCCCCCACGTGCGTGACGTCATTGATGGGCGGTCAGCAGCAGAAGGGGGAGGGGCGAGTGAGGATGCCGGAAGTTCGCTCCCCCCGGAATCGATGGGAATCGACGAACGGTAATCGATGAGAATCGAACATCCGATTCGTGGTGACGACATCGCCCGGCGACCATTGCCAAGATGGCGGCACCCAGGTAGGAGATTGTTGTTGTGGTGGTTGTTGTTTGTGTGGTGGTTGTTGTTGTGGTGGTTGTTGTTGTTGTGGTGGTGGTTGTTGTGGTGGTTGTTGTTTGTGTGGTGGTGGTTGTTGTTGTGGTGGTTGTTGTTGTTTGTGTGGTGGTGGTTGTTGTTGTGGTAGTGGTTGTTTGTTTGGTGGTGGTTGTTGTGGTGGTTGTTGTTTGTGTGGTGGTGGTTGTTGTTTGTTTGGTGGTGGTTGTTGTGGTGGTTGTTGTTGTTTGTGTGGTGGTGGTTGTTGTGGTGGTTGTTGTTTGTGTGGTGGTGGTTGTTGTTTGTTTGGTGGTGGTTGTTGTGGTGGTTGTTGTTGTTTGTGTGGTGGTGGTTGTTGTGGTGGTTGTTGTTGTTGTTTGTGTGGTGGTGGTTGTTGTTTGTGTGGTGGTGGTTGTTGTGGTGGTGGATGTTGTTGTGGTGGTGGTGGTTGTTGTTGTGGGGGTGGATGTTGTTTGTGTTGTGGTTGTGGTGGTGGTTGTTGTGGTGGTGGTGGTTGTTGTTGTTGTTGTGGTGGTGGTTGTTGTTGTGGTGGTGACGATGTTGACGATGGTGGTGATGATGATGGTGGTGATGATGGTGGTGATGATGATGATGATGGTGGTGATGATGGTGGTGATGATGATGGTGGTGATGATGATGGTGATGATGATGGTGATGATGGTGGTGATGATGATGGTGATGATGATGGTGGTGATGATGGTGGTGATGATGATGGTGGTGATGATGATGGTGGTGATGATGGTGGTGATGATGATGGTGATGATAATGGTGATGATAATGCGGCTATTGACAGCAGGTGTTGGAGACTTAGCTGGGTCATGCAGAGATAATGAGCTCAACTAAAACAATGCTTTTCCCAGCGGGTAAGGCTCACTAAGCAGCATCATAGCTCTTCCTCAGAAGCTACCTGGCCATCACAAATGATTGCCCACCAAAGTGGTTCATCATCGCGTGAACATTTGTAGCAGAAGCCAAATAATCTCAACTCGTGTGTTTCTAAACGTGGAGGGAAAAACTGGAGGACCAGGAGACAAAATCCACGCGACCACGGGAGGAGAGAGACGCAAACTCCAAACATACATTGGCAGGCATCGTCAGGGTCGGGATCGAACCCACGACCTCCTGCACACCAGGCGAGGTAGTCAACATCTCCCAGTCACACACAAACATACATTGGCAGGCATCGTCAGGGTCGGGATCGAACCCACGACCTCCTGCACACCAGGTGAGGTAGTCAACATCTCCCAGCCACACACAAACATACATTGGCAGGCATCGTCAGGGTCGGGATTGAACCCACGACCTCCTGCACACCTGGCGAGGTAGTCAACATCTCCCAGCCACACACAAACATACATTGGCAGGCATCGTCAGGGTCGGGATCGAACCCACGACCTCCTGCACACCAGGCGAGGTAGTCAACATCTCCCAGCCACACACAAACATACATTGGCAGGCATCGTCAGGGTCGGGATCGAACCCACGACCTCCTGCACACCTGGCGAGGTAGTCAACATCTCCCAGCCACACAAAAACATACATTGGCAGGCATCGTCAGGGTCGGAATCTAACCCACGACCTCCTGCACACCTGGCGAGGTAGTCAACATCTCCCAGCCACACACAAACATACATTGGCAGGCATCGTCAGGGTCAGGATCGAACCCACGACCTCCTGCACACCTGGCGAGGTAGTCAACATCTCCCAGCCACACAAAAACATACATTGGCAGGCATCGTCAGGGTCGGAATCTAACCCACGACCTCCTGCACACCTGGCGAGGTAGTCAACATCTCCCAGCCACACACAAACATACATTGGCAGGCATCGTCAGGGTCAGGATCGAACCCACGACCTCCTGCACACCTGGCGAGGTAGTCAACATCTCATAGCCACACACAAACATACATTGGCAGGTATCGTCAGGGTCACGATCGAACCCACGACCTCCTGCACACCTGGCGAGGTAGTCAACATCTCCCAGTCACACACAAACATACATTGGCAGGCATCGTCAGGGTCGGGATCGAACCCACGACCTCCTGCACACCAGGCGAGGTAGTCAACATCTCCCAGCCACACACAAACATACATTGGCAGGCATCGTCAGGGTCGGAATCTAACCCACGACCTCCTGCACACCTGGCGAGGTAGTCAACATCTCCCAGCCACACACAAACATACATTGGCAGGCATCGTCAGGGTCAGGATCGAACCCACGACCTCCTGCACACCTGGCGAGGTAGTCAACATCTCATAGCCACACACAAACATACATTGGCAGGTATCGTCAGGGTCACGATCGAACCCACGACCTCCTGCACACCTGGCGAGGTAGTCACCATCTCCAATGAAACTCACCGCTTCTTACTCGACTTCTGACCACGTCGTTAATCGCGACTGCTCGCCAGTGGCCAGCTGAACGGATAATCGATAATAATCGATGGTAATCAATAATCGATGGTAATTGATTATTATCATCGATTATCCGATTCGCGCTCATGTCATCCCACAGAGACCATCGCCAAGATGGCGGTGCCCAGGTACACTACACTATACACTACATTATACACTACACTATTATACTATACACTACCATACACTATACACTACACTTATACTATACACTACTGTACACTATACACTACACTATTATACTATACACTACTGTACACTATACACTACCATACACTACTGTACACTATACACTACACTACTGTACACTATACACTACACTACTATACTATACACTACTGTACACTATACACTACACTACTATACACTACACTATACACTACACACTACTATACACTACACTATGCACTACACTATACACTACACTACTATACACTACACTACTATACACTAGACTATATACAACACTATACATTACACTACTACACTACACTACTACACTATACACTACACTATACACTACACTACACTACTACACTATACACTACACTATACACTACTATACACTACACTACTATACACTACACTACTATACACTACACTATACACTGCTATACACTACATTATACACTACTATACACTACACTATACACTACTACACTATACACTACTACACTACACTATACACTACACCATACACTACACACTACTATACACTACACTATGCACTACACTATACACTACACTACACACTACTATACACTACACTATACACTACTATACACTACACACTACACTATACACTACACTATACACTACTATACACTACACTATACACTACACTACTACACTATACACTACACTATACACTACACTATACACTACTATACACTACTATACACTACACTATACACTACACTACTACACTATACACTACACTACTACACTATACACTACACTACTACACTATACACTACTATACACTACACTATACACTACACTACTATATACTAAACTACTAAACGCTATACTCGTAACTCATTGGCGCGTTGTTTACGTGACGAACCTTCCTGGCTGTGTCGGCCGGTGGAGGGTTACCACGCAACATTTATACTTCACGCGATCTGACCTCGTGACCTTCATTACGAGTTTTGCATCAATGCAACCGCAGAAGTCCTCTTCAAGGCGAGCATCTCTTCACGGTCGATGGCGGCAGCTTTGCCAGTTGCCCCCCCCCCCCCCCCCGATGTCTGTTGACCTATCTTGTGTGTCACCCCAAGTCCCAAGCCTTCGACCGTGGCAGAATGGTCGCGGCTGAGACGACTCGTGCTGACGAGATGAATCCGTCGTTGTCAACGCGTGCCAGGAATCTCCTCCAGGTGGGTCTCCAACTATACACTACACTATACACTACACTATACACTACACTACTATACACTACACTATACACTACACTATACACTACACTATACACTACACTACTATACACTACACTATACACTACACTATACACTACACTATACACTACACTATACACTACACTATACACTACACTATCACTACACTATACACTACACGACTATACACTACTATACACTACACTATACCTACACTATACCTACACTAACACTACCTATACACTACACTACTATACACTACACTATACACTACACTACTATACACTACATTATACACTACACTATACACTACACTATACACTACACTATACACTACACTATACACTACACTACTATACACTACATTATACCTACACTATACACTACACTATACACTACACTATACACTACTATACACTACACTACTATACACTACATTATACACTACACTATACACTACACTACTATACACTACACTATACACTACACTACTATACACTACATTATACACTACACTATACACTACACTATACACTACACTATACACTACACTATACACTACACTACACTATACACTACACTATACACTACACTATACACTACACTATACACTACACTATACACTACACTATACACTACACTACACTATACACTACACTATACACTACACTATACACACTACACTATCACTACACTACACTACACTATACACTACACTATACACTACACTATACACTACACTACTATACACTACACTATACACTACACTATACACTACACTACACTATACACTACACTATACACTACACTATACACTATACACTACACTATACACTACACTACTATACACTACTATACACTACATTATACACTACACTATACACTACACTATACACTACACTATACACTACACTATACACTACACTATACACTACACTACACTATACACTACACTATACACTACACTATACACTATACACTACACTATACACACTACTATACACTACATTATACACTACACTATACACTACATTATACACTACACTACATTGTACACTACACTACTACTCTACATTATACACTACACTATACACTACACTATACACTACACTACTACTACACTACATTACTATACACTACATTATACACTACACTATACACTACACTATACACTACACTATACACTACACTACACTATACACTACACTATACACTACACTATACACTACACTATACACTACACTATACACTACACTATACCTACACTATACACTACACTATACACTACACTATACACTACACTACACTGTACACTACACTACTACACTATACACTACACTATACACTACACTACTATACACTACATTATACACTACACTATACACTACATTATACACTACACTACTATACACTACACTACTATACACTACATTATACACTACACTATACACTACACTATACACTACACTACTATACACTACACTACTATACACTACATTATACACTACACTATACACTACACTATACACTACACTACTATACACTACACTACTATACACTACACTATACACTACACTATACACTACACTATACACTACACTATACACTACACTATACACTACACTACTATACACTACACTATACACTACACTATACACTACACTATACACTACACTATACACTACACACTATACACTATAGTGTATAGTGTGTAGGTATAGTAGTGTATAGTGTAGTGTATAGTGTATAGTAGTGTAGTGTATAGTAGTGTAGTGTATAGTGTAGTGTATACCCGCTCCCGTGGCCACCCCCCCACCCCCGGCAGGCCGAGGAGCCGAACCGCCCATTGGCGGCCGAGCTGATGAGGCGGCTGGTGCTGATGCAGCTGAAACAGCTGATGGAGCTGCGGAGGAGGAGGCTGGAACTGGAGCTGGGGCGGGTGAAGATAAAGCTGGTGAGCGAGTGAGTGAGTGAGCGAGTGAGAGAGAGAGAGCGAGTGAGTGAGCGAGTGAGAGAGAGCGAGAGAGAGAGAGCGAGTGGGAGCGAGTGAGTGAGTGAGCGAGTGAGAGAGAGAGAGAGCGAGTGAGTGAGTGAGCGAGTGAGAGCGAGTGAGTGAGTGAGCGAGTGAGAGAGAGCGAGAGAGAGAGAGCGAGTGGGAGCGAGTGAGTGAGTGAGCGAGTGAGAGAGAGAGAGAGCGAGTGAGTGAGTGAGCGAGTGGGAGCGAGTGAGTGAGAGAGAGCGAGTGAGTGAGCGAGTGAGAGAGAGCGAGAGAGAGAGAGAGCGAGTGAGTGAGTGAGCGAGTGGGAGCGAGTGAGAGCGAGTGAGTGAGAGAGAGTGAGCGAGTGAGAGCGAGTGAGTGAGTGAGCGAGTGAGTGAGTGAGCGAGTGAGTGAGTGAGCGAGTGGGAGCGAGTGAGTGAGTGAGCGAGTGAGTGAGCGAGCAAGTGAGTGAGAGCGAGTGAGAGCGAGTGAGAGCGAGTGAGTGAGTGAGCGAGTGAGTGAGTGAGCGAGTGAGTGAGTGAGCGAGTGAGTGAGTGAGCGAGTGAGTGAGTGAGCGAGTGAGTGAGTGAGCGAGTGGGAGCGAGCGAGTGAGTGAGCGAGTGAGTGAGCGAGCAAGTGAGTGAGCGAGTGAGAGCGAGTGAGTGAGTGAGCGAGTGAGAGCGAGTGAGTGAGTGAGCGAGTGAGAGAGAGCGAGAGAGAGAGAGCGGGAGCGAGTGAGTGAGAGAGAGAGAGCGAGTGAGTGAGTGCGCGAGTGAGAGCGAGCGAGCGAGTGGGAGCGAGTGAGAGAGAGCGAGAGAGAGAGAGCAAGTGGGAGCGAGTGAGTGAGCGAGTGAGAGCGAGTGAGTGAGGGAGCGAGTGAGTGAGTGAGCGAGTGAGTGAGTGAGCGAGTGGGAGCGAGTGAGCGAGTGAGTGAGCGAGCGAGTGGGAGCGAGTGAGAGAGAGTGAGTGAGTGAGTGAGCGAGTGAGCGAGTGGGAGCGAGTGGGAGCGAGTGAGCGAGTGAGAGCGAGTGAGCGAGTGAGCGAGTGAGCGAGTGAGCGAGTGGGAGCGAGTGAGTGAGTGAGCGAGTGAGTGAGAGCGAGAGAGTGAGCGAGTGAGTGAGCGAGTGAGTGAGTGAGCGAGTGAGAGAGAGCGAGAGAGAGAGAGTGAGTGAGTGAGAGTGAGAGAGTGAGCGAGTGAGAGAGTGAGCGAGTGAGCGAGTGAGAGAGTGAGAACGAGTGAGTGAGCGAGTGAGAGAGTGAGAGCGAGTGAGTGAGCGAGTGAGAGAATGAGCGAGTCAGAGCGAGTGAGTGAGTGAGCGAGTGAGAGAGAGCGAGTGAGTGAGAGAGTGAGAGAGTGAGCGAGTGAGCGAGTGAGAGAGTGAGAACGAGTGAGTGAGCGAGTGAGAGAGTGAGAACGAGTGAGTGAGCGAGTGAGAGAATGAGCGAGTCAGAGCGAGTGAGTGAGTGAGCGAGTGAGAGAGAGCGAGTGAGTGAGAGAGTGAGAGAGTGAGCGAGTGAGCGAGTGAGAGAGTGAGAACGAGTGAGTGAGCGAGTGAGAGAGTGAGAGCGAGTGAGTGAGCGAGTGAGAGAATGAGCGAGTCAGAGCGAGTGAGTGAGTGAGCGAGTGAGAGAGAGCGAGTGAGTGAGTGAGCGAGAGAGAGAGAGCGAGTGGGAGCGAGTGAGTGAGAGAGCGAGTGTGACAGCGAGAGAGAGAGTGAGAGAGAGCGAGTGAGCGAGACTTTTTTTTGACTTTTATAACTTTATTGCCTCCAGCGGCAATTGCGCTGGAGTGTTTCCAATGTATCAGAATACCAGCCTGTACGGCAACTTAAGAACTAAGCAGCGTCGGCTCCACATTCATCACACATCATCATCACACACCACATCGCCACCGCCCCGCAGCCAGTGTCCGATGTGCTTGCCATTCCGGGCTCTCACACCCCTTTGCCTGACAGAGCAGCCCCTCCACTCCCACACCCTCACCCTCCTCCTCGGCTGGCGACGGCGGCGGTGGTGCCGTCTTCGGCGCCACGGGGGGGAAAGGGGGTAGTGGGGGGGGGGGATGGTGGCTGTTTTTGGACCTTGCTCATCAAGGCCTTTAACCGATTGATTTCCTGGCGGCTGTAATCAAACTTGCTCGGATCCTGGACCACACGACAGGCCGCACTCACGAAGTTCCCCCCGCTGGGGAAGCTGTCCTGCACCCGGATGTTGCGCCTCCCGTACGACCATCTCAGGAAGCCGAGAAGGTGGTCGGGGGAGCACCCCATCTTGGGCATCGGAGGCCAGCTCTTCGGCACTCTCCGTCCCTTCCGGTCGCCACCGCTGACGACGCTCGCCCCGCTCACCTCTCGCGCCTCGGCGCCAGATCCGCTTGTCATGTCGGCGTGGGCCCCCCCTGTCCCCACCGCCGACCCGTCTGGGGCCAGGGCCTCGCTGGGCTCGATCTCAAGCCCAGGAAGCCCACTCCCCTCGAATTCCATAGTCACCTCCTCCCAGAGCCGGCCCAGCCACTAAGCGACCCTTGCAATTGCAAAGGGCCCCATGGCCAGCAGAGGGCCCCGCTAGAGTCACTGCTAGCGAGTGGGTGAAAAAAATCATACATCAAAGGGGCCTCCAACCAAATTTTGCTTAGGGCCCCCAAAGGTCTAGGGCCGGCTCTGCCTCCTCCCCCCCCCCTCCCTCATCGGGACGGGCGAAGAGGTGCTCCCCGGCGCCGCAGCAGCAGCAGTATCAGTAGTAGCAGCAGCAGCAGTAGTAGCAGCAGCAGCAGCAGCATCAGTAGTAGCAGCAGCAGCAGCAGCAGCAGCATCAGTAGTAGCAACAGCAGCAGTAGCAGCAGCAGCAGCATCAGTAGTAGCAACAGCAGCAGCAGTAGCAGCATCAGCAGCAGTAGCAGCAGCATCAGTAGTAGCAACAGCAGCAGCAGCAGCAGCATCAGTAGTAGCAGCAGCAGCAGCATCAGTAGTAGCAGCAGCAGCAGTAGTAGCAGCAGCAGCAGCATCAGTAGTAGCAGCAGCAGCAGTAGTAGCAACAGCAGCAGTAGCAGCAGCAGCAGAAGTAGTAGCAGCAGCAGCAGTAGTAGTAGCAGCAGCAGCAGTAGCAGCAGCATCAGTAGTAGCAACAGCAGCAGCAGCAGCATCAGTAGTAGCAGCAGCAGCAGCAGCAGCATCAGTAGTAGCAGCTGCAGCTGCAGCAGCAGTAGTAGCAGCAGCAGCAGTAGTAGCAGCAGTAGTAGCAGCAGTAGTAGCATCAGTAGTAGCAGCTGCAGCAGCAGCGCCGCCCGGCACACCAACGTCTCCGGCGGCGGCGGCGGCGGTCAGCGTCACCTCTTCTCCTCGCTGCGTCGGGGGTGCAAGCGAGGCCGGGTCCGGCTGTTGCGCTCCCTCGGTCGCCGCCGCCGCCGCTTGCGCGTCGCCGCTGGCCTCCATGGCCTTCCCCCCCCGCCCCCCCTTTGCCGGAGAGAGGGGGGGGGCAGCAGCCTCAATCTTCACCCGGTCGGCCTCCCGCCAGCTGAAACTGTGGATCCTGGATCACCATCTGTGCCACCCTCACTAAAGAAGCCCTATCGGGGAAAGTTTTCGTCACCGCTCTCCACCCCCCCTTCCCCCCCAGGAGGCGTCCGGGTCCGGGAACATCTCCCGCCGAGCTCCTGGCGGCCTCCGGGTCGGCCCCCGCCCGCCCTCCGCGCCCGTCCAGGAGACGGAACCACCGCCACCACCGCCACCACCGCCACCACCACCACCACCGCCGCAGAAGAAGAGGAGGAGAAGCTGCTCCCCCGGGTGGGCGTTTACGAGCCAGCGCGTGTTGTGTCTGTGTGTTGTGTGTGTGTTGTGTGTGTGTGTGTTGTGTGTGTGTTGTGTGTGTGTTGTGTGCGTGTTGTGTGTGTGTTTTGTGTGTGTGTTGTGTGTGTGTTGTGTGTGTGTTGTGTGCGCGTGTTGTGTGTGTGTTGTTGTGTGTGTTGTGTGCGCGTGTTGTGTGCGCGTGTTGTGTGTGTGTGTGTGTGTGTTGTGGTGTGTTGTGTGCGCGTGTTGTGTGTGTGTGTTGTGTGTGTTGTGTGTGTGTGTTGTGTGTGTGTCGTGTGTGTGTGTTGTGTGTGTGTGTTATGTGCGTGTGTTGTGTGTGTGCGTGTTGTGTGCGTGTGTTGTGTGCATGTGTTGTGTGTGGGTGTGTTGTGTGCGTGTGTTGTGTGTGTGTGTTGTGTGTGTGGTGTGTTGTGTGGCTGTGTGTGTGTGTGTTGTGTGTGTGTTGTGTTGGTGCGTTGTGTTGTGTGTTGGTGTGTGTGTATGCTTGTTTTGTGTGCGTGTGTTGTGTGTGTGTTGTGTGTATTGTGTGGTATTGGGTTGTGTGTTGTGTGGTGTGTTGTGTGTGTGTTGTGTGCCTGTGTTGTTGTGTGTTGTGTGTGTGTTGTGTGCGGTGTGTGTGTGTGTTGTGTGTATTGTGTGTGTATTGTGTGTGTGTTGTGTGTGTGTGTGTGTGGTGTGTTTGTGTGTGTGTGTGTGTTGTGTTGCGCGTGTTGTGTGTGTGTGTTTTGTGTGTGTGTGTTGTGTGCGCGTGTTGTGTGTGTGTGTTGTGTGTGTTGTGTGTGGGTTGTGTGCGTGTGTTGTGCGCGTGTTATTTGCGTGTGTTGTGTGCGTGTTGTGGGTGTTGCGTGTGTTGTACGCTGTTGGTGTGTACGCATGTGTGTTGTGTGTGTGTGTGTGTGTTGTGTGTGTGTGTTGTGTGCGCGTGTTGTGTGTGTGTTGGTGTGTGCGCGGTTGTGGTGTGTGTGTGTGTTGTGCGTGTGTTGTGCGTGTGTTATTTGCGCGTGTTGTGTGTGTGTGTGTTGTGCGTGTGTTGTGCGGAGGGGTGAGGGACACCGTTGTTGTCGTCGTCGTTGTCATTGTTGTTGTTGTTGTAGGATCGGCGCCGGCCAGGACAACCCACAACCACAGCAGCAGCAGCAGCAACAGCAGCAACAGCGGCAGCGGCAACAGCAGCGGCAGCAGCAGCAGCAGCAACAGCGGCAGCGGCGGCAGCAGCAGCAGCTGCAGCAACGGAGAGACTCTTCTGCAGCGGGGGTCAACGGCCACCGCCGCCTCCTCCCATCGCCGCCTCGACACGGCGGCTCCCGCACAGCGCCGCTCCTCCTCCCCACGGAGGAGACGGAGCAGGAGGAGGTTGCCCCCGGGCAGCGGAGCGACGTCGACCTCCCTCCCCGTCGCCCCCCCGACGGGTTTCCCGACGGACCCCAGTGGCCGCCTTGGGCCACGGGCCGCCGGACTTCCACGGGCCGCCGGGAGGACGTAGATTCGACGGGCCGCGGGGCCCCAGGGGCGTGCGGGTCGACGAGCACGGGGTTCCTCGGTTCGACGGCCCATCAGACTTCGAGGCCGGGCCTCGGTACGGCGGGCAGCAGCAGTGGCGTCAACATCAACAACGACGTCAACAACGACGTCAACAACGACATCAACGACAAACCACTTGGGAGGGACCGCACGGGTGGCTCTTTGACGGCGGGACGCAGTTTGCTGCGCGGCCGCCGGGCAACCTGCTGGGCCACCGGCCGGACTACTGGCTGGGCCACCAGCAGCTGACTCAGCACCAGCAGCTGACTCAGCAGCTGACTCAGCACCAGCAGCTGACTCAGCACCAGCAGCTGACTCAACACCAGCAGCTGACTCAGCACCAACAGCTGACGCAGCACCAACAGCTGACTCAACACCAGCAGCTGATGCAGCACCAACAGCTGACGCAGCACCAACAGCTGACTCAACACCAGCAGCTGATGCAGCACCCACAGCACCAACAGCTGACGCAGCACCAACAGCTGACTCAACACAACAGCTGATGCAGCACCAGCAGCTGACTCAACACCAGCAGCTCATGCAGCACCAACAGCTGACGCAGCACCAACAGCTGACTCAGCACCAGCAGCTGACTCAACACCAGCAGCTGACTCAACACCAGCAGCTGATGCGTGAAGTGATTGTTTGCCGCCCCCACACTTACAGCTCACCCACCACCACCGCTACGCCACCACCGCTCACCGCTACTCACACCACCGCTACTCACCACCACCGCTCGCCACCACCGCTCACCACCACCGCTCGCCGCTACTCACCACCACCGCTCACGCTACTCACCCCCACCGCTCACCACCACCGATCACCGCTACTCACCACCACCGCTCGCCACCACCGCTCACCACCACCGCTCACCACCACCGCTCACCACCACCGCTCGCCGCTACTCACCACCACCGCTCACCGCTACTCACCACCACCCGCTCGCCACCACCGCTCGCCACCACCGCTCACCACCACTGCTCGCCGCTACTCACCACCACCGCTCGCCACCACCGCTCACCACCACTGCTCGCCACCACCGCTCGCCACCACCGCTCACCACCACCGCTCACCGCTACTCAACATCACCACCGCTCGCCACCACCACTCACCGCTACTCACCACCACCGCTCGCCACCACCGCTCACCGCTACTCACCACCACCGCTCACCACCACCGCTCACCGCTACTCAACATCACCACCGCTCACCACCTTACCGCTCACCACCACCGCTCGCCACCACCGCTCGCCACCACCGCTGCCCTTCACCGCTACCACCTAGCTTGGCACAAGCGCTGCTGCTGCTGCTGCGGCGATGACGACGTTGTCTCTCTGCGTGTCTCTGCGTCGCCCCCCGAGTGCAGCGACGGGAGCGGCCGCCCACGCCGCTCAGGCCGAGCAGGTGAACTCGCTCTTCTGGAAGCTCGTCGCCTCGGGAATCCTGCAAGTCCAGGCGGCGACGGCGACCGCCAGCGTCGGCGGCACGGCCGGTGAGAGAGGAGATGGAAGCCCCACACCCCCAGGTCGTCGTGCCGACCTGGGGGTACTCGGCAGAGGTCGCAACCGGGTACCCGATACCCGGCTACCCGTACCCGGCCGGGTACAGGTACCGGTTTGCGACCCTGGTGCGGCCGGGTACGGGTATGGGGAGGCCGTGAGTCACTGGTGAGTGACCGTTTGTCACTCATTTCCCAACGTCTTGTCTCTTCTCACAATTCAAGTTCCTAGAATCAACCCACCGCGCCTGCAACATGGCTTCATCCCAGAGGTCGCAATCGGGTACCGATACCCGTACCCTACCCGTACCCGGCCGGGTACGGGTAGGGTACGGTACGCGGTACGGGAGTACGGCCGGGTACGGTATGTAGCCGTTTGCGACCCTGGTGCGGCCGGGTATGGGTACGGGTAAGGAATCAAAACCCGTTTGCGACCTCTGGCGACGGGGTCACGAGCGACGGGGTCACGAACGACGGGGTCACGAGCGACGGAGTTCTCCTGCGCGGAGGTGGCGGGAGTCGGAATGAGGTCACGTGACCACTGGGGGTGGGGGGGGGGCGGAAGGTGGACAGGGATGGGGGGGGGGCGGTCTCACCGATGGCCGCCCCCCCCCCCCCCCCCTCTGACCCCGCTCCGCTCGTGTTTCTCTCTCGCCGACAGACGACGCTCGTGCCGGGAGCGACGCTGGCGGCGCGACGGAGGAGACGTCCACCAGAGGTGAGGAGGCATCCGCAGAGGACGACGACGACGACGACATTCCGGACCTCTCCGGCTTCGCCATCGAAGACCTCAAGCGGTGAGCGTCAGCATCGCTCCACCGATGGCCCGGTGAAGTGGCTCGTCGTCGTGGGCACTTACAGCGCGTTGACGACGACGTTGGTTTTCAACGTGGAAGGGGGGAAAAAAACGCAGCGACCCCGAGAAAAAATTCCACTCGATCACGGGGAGAACGTTCAAATACGCAGCAGCAGCAGCAGCAGGCATCGTCAGGGCCGGGATCGAACCAACGACGGGCGGTTGGAGGCAGTCGCCCTCCAGCAACGACGGAGGGCGGAGGAGCGACGCTCACAACAACGAGCGGAGCGCCGGGCGGCTAAAACGCAGAAAGTTAGCACAGCAGGGGGCACAGGTGGTGGTGGTGCATCTACCGGTCATCTCAGTCAGTCAACCCGTGGCACCTGCAGGGTCTGTCCCGTGACCTCCTGCACCTAGCCTGGCACAGCAGGGGGGTACAGCTGGTGGTGCATCTACCGGTCATCTCAGTCAGCCAACCCGTGGCACCTGCAGGGTCTGTCCCGTGACCTCCTGCACCTAGCCTGGCACAGTAGGGGGGTACAGCTGGTGGTGCATCTACCAGTCATCTCAGTCAGTCAACCCGTGGCACCTGCAGGGTCTGCCCCGTGACCTCCTGCACCTAGCCTGGCACAGCAGGGGGGTACAGCTGGTGGTGCATCTACCGGTCATCTCAGTCAGCCAACCCGTGGCACCTGCAGGGTCTGTCCCGTGACCTCCTGCACCTAGCCTGGCACAGCAGGGGGGTACAGCTGGTGGTGCATCTACCGGTCATCTCAGTCAGCCAATCCGTGGCACCTGCTGGGTCTGTCCCGTGACCTCCTGCACCTAGCCTGGCACAGTAGGGAGGGTACAGCTGGTGGTGCATCTACCGGTCATCTCAGTCAGTCAACCAATGGCACCTGCTGGGTCTGCCCTGTGACCTCCTGCACCTAGCCTGGCACAGCAGGGGGGTTACAGCTGGTGGTGCATCTACCGGTCATCTCAGTCAGCCAACCCGTGGCACCTGCAGGTTTCTGTCCCGAGACCTTCTGCCAGCAGCGAGCCTTCGACACTTCACGCGGCCTCAACGTGCACCTGGCCTGGCACGGTCGCCGTGGTGACGTCACCGTCGCTGTGTGGCGAATGGCGGGGTATTGGTGTTAGTGTGTTCGTAGCCAACCGTGCTAATTGGAGGTGCCGGGGGTAAGGATCACAAAGTAAAAAACACAAAAAGCATTTCTAAAGAAATTCGTGAGTCAGCGATGATTTAAAAGTGGACAACTCCAGTGGATTGCTCACATGAGGCAGGAGGCGCGTCTGAAAGCGCTCGCTGCGGTGATCTTGCCATGAGGATGTCTTGTGTGTGCGTGTGTGAGTATATGCGAGCGCGCGAGTGTATATCCGCTGTGTGTGCGTGTGTGCGTGTGTGAGTATATGCGAGCGCGCGAGTGTATATCCGTGTGTGTGTGTGCGTGTGTGCGTGTCTGTGCGTGTGTATATCCGCGTGTGTGTGCGAGTGTATATCTGCGTTTGTGTGTGTGCGTTTGTCTGTGTGTGCGTGTGTACGTGTGTATGTGTGCGTGTGTGGGGAGCGGTAGTGTAGCGGTTAGCGCGCTGCGCTATGAACCTGGCGACCCGGGTTCGATTCCCGCTCACGGCTAACACCAGTGACGATTATCTGAACCGGTCCTGGGCCTCCCCTAGGTCGACTCAGCCTTAAATGAGTACCTGGTGTGGTGTGTAAACATCGCCACTAGGGAGACAAAGGCGGTCGGGCGTGGTGCTGGCCACCCACCCCCTCGTGTACCGTTCCGGCCTTCATAGGTGCTCGCTAACAGCACTTGCCCCTACAGTCTGTTCAGGCTATACGGGGGATCTTTGTCTTTATCTTTGTGTGCGTGTGTACATCCGCGTGTGTGTGTGCGTGTGTATATCCGCGTGTGGTGCGTGTGCGTGTGTACATCCGTGTGTGTGTGCGTGTGTATATCCGTGTGTGTGTGCGTGTGTACATCCGCGTGTGTGTGCGAGTGTATATCCGCGTGTGTGTGCGTGTGTCTGTGTGTGCGTGTGTACGTGTGCGTGTGTACATCCGCGTGTGTGCGTGTGTACGTGCGTGTGTCTGTGTGTGCGTGTGTACGTGTGCGTGTACATCCGCGTGTGTGTGTGCGTGTGCGCGTGTGTGCGCGTGTGCGTGCGTGTGTGTGCGTGTGTGCGCATGTGTATATCTGCGTGTGCGTGTGTGCATGTGCGTGCGCACAGGCGCCACGGCGGCGCGGTGCGGCGCCTCTACTCGGGTGTCCAGTGCCACTCGTGCAGCTTGCGCTTCACGGGGCGCCAGGCGAGCGCCTACGCCGACCACCTGGACTGGCACTACCGCGTCAACCGCGACAGCAAAGACCCGGGCAGCGAGGTCACGCACCGCCGCTGGTACCGCTCCTGCACGGTAAGCGGCGCTCGCTCACTCGCGCTCGCTCTGTGGCTCGGAGATGTTGACTACCTCGCCTGGTGCGCAGGAGGTCGTGGGTTCGATCCCAATCCTCACGCCTGCTGCTGTATATTTGGAGTTTGTGTGTCTCTCTCTCTAATCATCATCACGGTGGCTAGGAGATGTTAACTACCTCGCCTGGTATACAGGAGGTCGTGGGTTCGATCCCGACCCTGACGACGCCTGCTGCTGTAGATTTGGAGTCTGCGTCTCTCTCTCATCATCATCATCACGGTGGCTAGGAGATGTTAACAATCTCGCCTGGTGTACAGGAGGTCGTGGGTTCTATCCCGACCCTGACGCTCCGTCGTGTATTTGGAGTCTGCGTGTCTCTCCCTCTCTCTCTCCGTGGTCGTGTGTGGATTCTTTCCCGTGGCCCTCCGGGTTTTCCCCCTCCCACGTGGAGAATGGACGTTGCGCGAGTGAGAGCACTTGACCGCTGTGCATTCCCCACGCTCGCCGTGGTGGCCAGGGGGTGCGGGGTCCCCACTCCGTTTGCAACGTCACGGAGGCAACCTCGCGGGTCGGAAGCCCGAGAGATGAACGAGAGACGCGTGGGACACGAGGAGGCGGTGTTAGAGGGGAGGAGGGAGCTGTGGGCTCGAAGGCTGCGTGACGTCACGACGCCGTGAGACGTGCGGTGAACCGCCGCCCGTGTGCACGTGTGTTTGCGTGTGCGCGTGTGTACCACTTACCCCTAACCAGGTTACTGCTTACCTCTAACCAGGTTACCCCTAACCAGGTTACCCCTAACCAGGTTACCGCTTACCCCTAACCAGGTCACCGGCTTAGCTGATAGCTCCCCAGGGGACAGGGTACTGGGCAGAGGTCGCAACCGGGTACCCGATACCCGTACCCTACCCCATACCCGCACCCTACCCGTACCCGTACCCTACCCGATACCCGCACCCTACCCGATACCCGTACCCTACCCGATACCCGTACCCTACCCGATACCCGTACCCTACCCGATACCCGCACCCTACCCGATACCCGTACCCTACCCGTACCCTACCCGGCTACCCCTACCTGTACCGGGTACGGGTAGGCCGTGAGTCACTTGTGAGTCACCGTGTGTCACTCATTTCCCAACGTCTTGTCTCTTCTCACAATTCAAGTTCCTAGAATCAACCCACCCGCGCCTGCAACATGGCTTCATACCAGAGGTCGCAATCGGGTACCCGATACCCGTACCCAACCCGTACCCGGCCGGGTAGGGTACGGGTAGGGTACGGGTACGGCCGGGTACGGGTACCCGTTTGTGACCCTGGTGCGGCCGGGTACGCGTACGACCCCGTTGTGCCCCCAGCCTGCAGCCTCTCCCGTTCCCGGCTCCCACGGGAGCGACAACCCTCCTCCTAGGCCACGGGCTTCCCCCTGAATACCGTCTCGGGTGACGTGACGTCACCGCGCCCCCCAGGGTCTCCCCGCGACGTCGCTCGCCAACTGCGTACGACGCGAGTTGAACTTCTTTCGCGCCCTACCTACCCGGCCGACCGCGCCAATCGGCGGCGCGGGGGAACGGACGAGCGACTGAGCGGGTGCACCTAGCCCGGCACGAGCGCGCCGCCAACCTGACGCGGGACGGCGCCGCCCCCCCGCAGGAGTGGATCGAGACGCCGCCGGTGTCGCCCACGATGGGGGCGCCGAGAAAGCGCCTCCCGGAGCGGCCGCAGGAGGAGGCGCCGTCCCTCTGGACGAGGGGGGGGGGCACGAGGGGGGGGCCACGCGGGGGGGGCCACGAGGGGGGGGCCACGGGGGCGGGGGGGGGGCAAAGCCGAGGAGTTCCCCAGCGTCCCCGCGGGGACCGCCAGCGTCCAAGAGGTGAGGCAGACGACGGCGTCCGTTGTCCATTGGCCGTCTTCTTGATTGGCACGTTGTGTGTGCGTGTGTGAGTGTGTGTGTTTGCGTGTCTGTGTGTGCGTTGTGTGTCTGCGTGCGTGCGTGAGTGTGTGTGATTGCGTGTCTGTGTGTGCGTGTGTCTGCGTGTGCGTGCGTGTGCGTGCGTGTGTGAGTGTGTGTGTTTGCTTGTCTGTGTGTGCGTGTGTCTGCGTGTGCGTTGTGTGCTGCGTGCGTGCGTGAGTGTGTGTGTCTGCGTGTCTGTGTGTGCGTGTCTGCGTGTGCGTTGTGTGTGTGCGTGCGTGTGTGTTTGCATGTGAGTGTTTGCGTGTGTGATTGTTTGCATGTGTGAGTGAGTGTGTGCGTGCGTGAGTGTGTGTGTTTGCGTGTCTGTGTGTGCGTGTGTCTGCGTGTGCGTTGTGTTTCTACATGCGCGCGTGCGTGAGTGTGTGTGTTTGCGTGTCTGTGTGTGCGTGTGTCTGCGTGTGCGTTGTGTGTCTGCGTGCGTGCGTGCGTGTCTGTGTGTTTGCGTGTCTGTGTGTGCGTGTGTCTGCGTGTGCGTTGTGTGTCTGCGTGCGTGTGGTGAGTGTTTGCGTGTGTGAGTGAGTGTGTGTGCGTGTGTGTCTGTGTGTGTGCCTGTACGTGTGTATGAGTGAGTGTGTGAGTGAGTGTGTGAATCAGTCGAGCGGCAATATCTTTTCATCGGTTGCGTAACGCTGTGTGGAAGCTACCTGGTCTGTCGCTCCGCACGAAACTTCAGGTCTTCTCGGCCACAGTCATTCCCTCCCTTCTCTACGCTTGCGAAACGTGGACCCTCCTAATGGAGCATCTTCGCCGGTTGGAAACATTTAGGCTGGCCTGCCTACGATCCATCCTGGGTTTAACCAGGCTGGATTATGTGAGGAGCTCACAAGTCCTTGAAAGATCTGGGCAAAGTCCCATCGGTGAGCTCCTCCGGCAGGTAAGGCTGCGTTGGCTGGGTCATGTAGCCCGCATGCCTAGCCACCGCATGCCTAAACAGCTTTTGTTCGGCCGGATCGAGGGGGCTAGACGGGCGCGGCACGGCTAGAGAAGAGATGGAGTGATGTGGTACAGGAGGACGTGGAGCTGAGTGGACTTGCCGATGACTGGTACCAGCGGTGTCAAGTTCGGCCTCTGTGGAGGAGGCTCGTGAAGGACGCTACTGGGCAGTTGGAGGCAGTCACCCTCCAACAACAACGGAGGGCGGGGAGCGACGCTCACAACAACGAGCGGAGCGCCGGGTGGCTAAAGCACAGCTAGTTGGCACAGTAGGGGGCACAGGTGGTGCATCAGCCAGTCATCTCGGTCAGTCGACCCGTGGCACCTGCTGGGTCTGCCCCGTGACCTCCTCAAGGTGCACATGGCCTGGCACAAGCGTCGTGGTGACGTCACCGCCACCTAGTGGCGAATAGCGGTTGTTGTTGTTGTATGAGTGAGTGTGTGTGTGCGTGTGTGTGAGTGAGTGTGTGTGTGAATGAGTGTGTGAGTGAGTGTGAATGTGTGAGTGAGTGTTTGTGTGAGTGTGTGAGTGTGTGTGTGTGAGTGAGTGTGCGTGAGTGAGTGTGTATGAGTGAGTGAGTGTGTGTGTGTGAGTGAGTGTGTGCGTGAGTGAGTGAGTGTGTGCGTGTGTATGAGTGAGTGAGTGTGTGAGTGAGTGTGTGAATGAGTGTGTGAGTGAGTGTGTGAATGTGTGAGTGAGTGAGCGTGTGAGTGAGTGTGTGTGTGAGTGAGTGGGTGAGTGAGTGTGTGTGTGTGTTGTCAGCTGTGTGAGATGTGCGGTGAGCAGCTAGAAGCGTACTGGGACGAGGACGAGGAAGAGTGGCGGCTGAAGAATGCCACCAGGGAGGACGGCCGGGTGAG